CCACATTTAAATACACAAACCAGCGGTGTCACGAAAGTTTCCAACTCGCTATTACTATTACCGATAAATCTATACGGCTAGAAATTGATTACTTAGTTCTATTAAATCATAAATTGCATTATTTTGCGAATAAGCGTGATTCGCACTTCGCAATTTATTCTCTTAAAGTACGATTTTGATTTCATTTTATTGAATATTTGGACCTTAAAGTTTGTTATTATCTCCGACGCTGGGCCCATCGATACCTTCGCAAGGCACATAAAACATATAAACTATAATACGCCATTAGAGACTTCCGGTGCTAACTCATTTGTTATTGCAGAATTCGTTTGTTTCACGCATGTGTGAATATACACATTTGTCAAAAAAAAGCTATATGTACGGCAACAAAGACACCAAATTGATAACGCTTTTTGATAAGTAGCTGGACTTCCGTTTCCGACTGAATTTCTACAAATAAATTGACGATAAAATTGAATATAATCTAAGTTCAATGGCTGGATATTGATTAAATGGTGCTTGATGCCCATCATACAGATGAGCGTATTAGGCGATAGAAAAATCGCGTACCTACTCTTTAAGAGTTTATTTATTTTCTTATTATCTTATTAATTAACTCATTAATGATGGAGCTCGAGATCGCCGTGGTACAGTTGAAGAAATTACAGACAACAATTTCCGACCAATACACGTATACATTCTTGTTCTAACGACTTTGTAATAATGTATAAACATATACGTCGGTCGGAATTAATGTTATAGAAAACAATTATGAACACTGTATATCGGCAATTTACCTACAATTTGAATTAATTTCCTTTGCGGAGTTAAACGCGCGTAGTCGCTAATTAAATCTAATTTAATTAGCGCTAATTTTCATTGTGTAATTTGTGATTTATAATCGCGCATTGCTCGACTACTAAAAAAAACTAATTAGTCTATCGATGATAATTAGAAAATTTACGCGAGAAAACGCGTTTTACGTTGACACTTAACGTTGATAAGACAATTTCACTGCGACTAGAAATAACGCGAAAATAGAAATAAAATGTTTCATTTCGTTAAATATTTGCTGGAATTTCCTCGATTACGACGTTGACAATAACAATAATCGATGTTCCCGCGGTAATATTAGAGGAAAATATTTGTGAAATTGTATAAAGTCGACTCACGTATCGGATTTATAAATATATTTAGTCTCCCCAAACATTCGAGACGCGTGTAAAAATAACCTAGTTTTAGTGAAAATAGTGACAATTCGTTTCTTCTGCTGTTTTTCCCGACTGCTGTCGAATATTATTTTATTAGAGATATTTTTAAACCGTTTGAAGTAGGCGTAGATAGAAAATCTTGTAATTTCGAAATAACACTGCTTATCGATCACCTTGCAACAAATTTAAACAAACCTAACAAAACTTTACGATATTTGCAACAAACTTTTTAATTCCGAATCGTCTAATTTAATAAGCCGCATAATAAAACTCCATTCTTCTTCGGGATTTTAACGATTGAAATTGTCATTAAACTTCGTCTATAAATACGACAGAGTCGGATTTGAGAGGCCTGTCTAAGACTTTTGTTTATAATAACTCGTCTACGAGTGTATGTTTACATAAAATAAATAAACTCGTTCGAGTTTCCGAACTCATTATCTACTCGTTTGGGCCTCTGTGCCGAGCTCACCGCCACTCGTCTGTTTATTTACGCGATAGCTCTGATTGAAGTTTCGGGAATATGACAGGAATTATTCGCCAGTGGCGGCGCCTTGTTTTCGCCCGAGTCTCGTTAGCGCATTAATCAAATTATTGTGGCATTCAATGCGCTAAGATTGCGCCAAAGTTTACATTTTACGCTCGACTAATACCCCGAAGCTCCTTTTTATCGTCGTGTTTATTAGGTATATTTTCCCGGTGAAAGAGAAAATTCTCCATTTTATTAATTAATAAATTAAAAGATGGGAATCGAAGCAGCTGGCCTGCTCCTTTTCGGGATAAGATAAGAGATAAATATTGATAATGTAACACAAAGCATCCAATACAGATTGATGTTGAAACTTGGGAGAGCTTTATACAGTAGATTTCGCGCCGTCGTCTGCCTGTTTTTTCCTTCTAACTACTTAAGTAATAAGAAGATTACATCGGGGATTTCTTGAAGAAGTTTCGCCAACATCCCTGCAGGGATCCGGGCGCGTTTAAACGGATGCACAAATTGTTGGAATATTTTTTACAAAAATCTATCAGGAACCCTTTGGTTAATTAACGAACACAACTCGAAATAGACGTAAGAAAATCGCTTGCTTCTGGGTGTTAAAATAAACGATACTAAGGGGGCACCGGTGCTTTCCCGTAAACCGATTACAACCGAGAAAATAAGTTTATTTAACGGGATTTTTGAAGGATTTTATCGACACCATTAGGGGAGATGTCTTCCCATCGGTTCGAGACTTACGACAGTACGATTAATTTTTAAAATTTATTGTTCGAAAATACATTATTTATTACTTAAATGTATTCTTCATTCTCTCTAGTTTGATTTACTATCTCTTCTTATGCTGTCTACTTACAAACATATTAAATTAGAAATGGATATTTCCGGGCCTAATTGGCACTAAAATCGCGAGTATGTATATCTTTTGAACGCGCCAATCAGAAAAAACCGTATCCATATATCCATTAATTACCGAGTAACGCGATGCGGGATGCGAAATATAAAAATGGAATCTTTATAGTCTAATGACTACGTTCCCATTTGAAGTAAGCGCATATATTATCTTACACGTTAATACAAAAGAGAATCGGAGCTTTTACGTATTATACGGATCGCGACCGCAGCCGTCTGGATCTCTTTTTCTCTGCATAACGTTCGAGGTTTTTCTTTGGCGGCGGTGGCTGATCGACCGAGCGCCGGGCGCGATTCCATTTGCGTGGAGAATCTCGCTTTTCGCCTGATTTATATAGATTTGGAATTTTTTAAATGTAAATTAGTAAGTATAATTTGTAACCGTAGTGTACTGATAGCATATTTGAGAAGGGTATTTTTTTGCCGGGGAACGGGTTACTATCCACGACCGGTTCCTTTCTCTGTGCGCGTCTGGAAAGGTACATAAAAGAACGAAAACCTCTCGCGCTCGTATGTGCGTGGTCGCGCTGAATCCGAGTTATTACCGATTTTCCTCTATGCTCTTTAGCGTCTCGTTCTCTAAGCGGAGCCGCCGAGAAGATGAGGCCTTTCGCGCTTCGCCTGTTCTTCTTGCTCTCCTACCTTTCCTATTATTTGTCCCGGTAATATATAAAACCCATACCTACCAACCTATCTATAACAATTTTTGATTTGCATTTTATACCTACACCGATTGTTAAAAATACTAAAAATCATCTACAGTAACAGCTTTTCCATTCAAACGTGCCACCTTGTATATTTATTATTATTGTAAAACTTGTTAGATCTAAGCAAATAGTTAAATCTGCTTAATCCCACTTGGAAAATCCACCTAAATGTCGTGCACAGCTTTCGTTTCGGCGTCTTTTTCGAGATGAAAAATCAATTAAAGAAAAAAAGAACATACGACTGGGTGTTAATTCTTGATGCGTGCGCGTGTATCCTGACAAACGAAAATAGTGACGAAAATAACACCGTTCTGTCTCATTTATATATTAATTCTAGCGATTCCCGACCCGAAAAACACTTACGAGAATATTTATTGGAAAACGAAAATAAACAAAACGCTCATTCGAATACCAATAGTGTCGTTGTAACCCGCTCGCCCAGGTGCGGACTGCTCGTGATGCTCCCAGAAATTAGTAAGGTGCTATAAAAATACCGATTGCTCAAACGAGATCGAATCAACGAATTATTTTCGAAATGGTATTCATCTATTTTTGAGTTTAATAGTATGTTCCACGCATTTTTCCTTGTCGTTTCCAATCCATCTGTGACGTCGGACGTAATGAATCACTTGAAAAATCTTTGTATATACACTCTCAGTATACAGTGTGTCCCAAACCTCAAATATTTTATGTAAGGACCCCTCAAGTGATCGCGCTAGGTTGAGCCGCTGGTCTGCGGTCGACGATTATATTCCGGGAGTTATTCAGGATGATATATATCGAAAACAAGTCGATTGTCAAGTGAATAATTACCAGAAAAATGATTAGCGGTCGACAGACAAAACTATTTTTGTCGAGAATGTCGCGGGTTCGCCATCGTTTGTTGTCTCCGCGGTCGGAAAATAAATAATCAAGAAAAGCAAGACATTTTTTTAATCTATTTTCGAACGTTTCGAAATCGAAATTAACTAGGGGAATTTCAATCCGAGCATTACAAAAAAAAGTCCGTTTCGACCTAGTTTTTTTGTTATATGCTCATACAGCGATGAAAGCATTTACTTCAATCGGTATTATAATATAATACATATCAGACAACCCACTGTCGATTCCTGTATATTCCGTTCGGCATACAATGCTATATCGAATTTCCGAGTAAAATATTCATTAATTTATCATTCAATATTTAGAAACCCCTTCGCTACCCCTTTTAAAATACGCAGCGAAAAAAGGATAGCTTCTCGCCATCGGTCCTTATTCACCCGCCCCTTCTGCTCCGCCGCCCCCGATGTGCCCACATGCCGGCCGAATTTTACATTTCATCTTTATTATCTTAGGTTTCCTCTGTCCATCACGTTCTTTTATTACCTTCGTTATCTTTCCGTTTTTGCGGTCCGTAGGATCGAATTCAGATAATTTACCTAAATGTTACCAAACTCGGCAAAGCAGAAGGAATAATAAGTAACAAAAACGCAAGTGTAAACAATTTTAATTATTTCTGGTAACCACTATAGTTTGGTAACCGCAATATTTAATTTTTTGTTAATAATTATTAAAGAGTACCAGTAGGATTTGGTAGGTAACTGTAATTTTTTGATAACATTTTTGAGTAGGTACATGATAAAAAAATATTAATATTTAAGTGTTGGGTTAGATATTATTTAATATTGTTCTTACTTCTTTATCTTTGGAGGCCATTTCGTTTTCAAAACTTTGTCTGTCCATGTTCGACGTGTCTTTGTTCTCGCAATTGTTCGATGTATTCGTTCCGGATAATTGTTCTTTTAACGTTGTAACCTCTTTCTCCGCCAATGTCGCCCTCTGGAAGAGAAAAGAACTGTTAACAAACATTGGAAATGATAATTATTATATTATTTTTGCACTATCTAGTGACTATAACTAACCTAACGTAACGCGAATCGTTTAATAATACTCGGTCATTTGTTCAGGTTTTATCTTAAAGATACCGCAAATAAAGGATGTCGATAAAAGCACAGGAATAAGTGTGATGTAAATTGGAAATATTTTATTATTTTAGTGGATTATTTATCTGTTTAATTTTGTTAATTTAAAAGTAAAAAATTGTCGGTGTATAATAAGAAAAGTTTGGAGAAAATACCTCGAATATTTTCGTTCGAATTTCTACAAAGGAAAGATAATTAATGTTATTGCAAAGGCGGCGTAAAATCTCCTCGGTATCGACTCGGCACCCGAAAATAGCCGCAATTTTTCATCTCAGCCGATGTCAAATTTCGCCATTCAGAGATAAAGATTAATAATGAAGGGAATTTCTCTACTTTGAGCTTTTCCTCATCGAAAATTTTGTCACACTTTGATTACTAATTAGTCTTCTAGGGGTGGCCTCTCCCTTATTTCGCTGATTCCCGACCCTTTTAAAACAGTCCTTTTCGCCAGCAACCCTTCCCTTTTTTGTCTTTCTCCGTCTATCGGTCCCGGTATCGCTCATATTCCGTTCGACTGAGAATTCGTGACGAACTCGATTTGTATCCTTACTCGATATCGACAAAATACACAATCTTTTCAAATCGCCCGCAAAATGTATCGAATTTTTGATTCATGCCGACGCTCTCTTACATCTCTCCTATAACATCTCTCGTTCCTTTAACGCGATTATCGTATGGCAAACGTCCATTAAAACAATTGAATTCGAGATAATGCAGTTAATAGTTAAAACCCCCTATTGAAAATTGGATATTCGGGACAAAACTGTAAGTTTTAGTTTAGCGATTCATTCTATTAGGCAGGCTTTTCCTTTAAAGCCCTAACAAAATTACGCGCTCCGTCTCTTTTCTTCCTTTTAACCCCTTACATCGGGCGCTCTATATAGTGCAAGCGCACACATTCGTGCTTATGAATGCATCTTTTAACCGCTAATATCCCATTGAATTTTATGGAATTTATATATTCGCGTTTTCGATTTTTTATGAAAAATTCCTTCGAAAATGTATGCATATTTTCAAGTTGGTAGGTACTGTAATTGTTGTGTAATTAAGAGAATTTGAATTGTTTACAAGGGTAAGTCGAAAGAGTGCTTTGTAATAATTAATAATGTTGCCGAATCACGTTGCCAAAATGCATAAAATTGAAGATATTTGCTCGAAAAGCAATCAGTTTAGAACGGTTTTGGCATCTTGAAAAAATTGTATGAATAGATAATGTAAGGAGCCCCCTAAACGTTGATGGGATTTTTGACGGTCCGCTCCAGGACTATAAAATCTTGGTGATAGGAGGAAAAGGATAAAGGACGAGCGGGAATATATATATATCGGGGAAAAGTATAGACGCGACCGTATACGAGCTTTTCTCGTACGGCATCTGACTGTCGGAGTTGTTCTAACAGTTAATTTTATTAATCCCCGGCCGGAGTGGAAACGCCGACGCGTCGTCATCCCCGCACGGCGGCGCTTATTTTCCATTCGGACGGTTCGTCTCTTTGTTCGAACTCGGGATTACCCCGTTCGAGGAGTTTCCGGCGAGTTCCCGCTCGCCAGGAACGGACGGCGGAGTATTTTTAGAATCGCATCGGTAACACACAGGTACAATCGCACACCTCCCGCTCGTATAAATACAGGCGTCCCACGGCGAGAAAAACGCGCCTTCATAAATAAAACGATTCCCCGGTTATTTACGACTTCGAAAGACATCCGAATGTAAAAGAGGCGCAATAATAAGGCAGCGTTATTCGACTGTTACGTACTTACGTATTTCCACGGCCATCTCATTATTCGGGAGAAGAGGAACTGGATAAAAAAAAAACCGACGAAGAGGAGCGATGTTCAATTTTTCGCGCACCCCAACGCCTTCTTATTACGTGAAATATGTTCATAGCCACCTTTCTATACCGCATAGGGTAATATCTCAATGTTATTATAAAAACAATAGCGTTGGAGTTTCATCCACGCCAGCGGTGGAAGTTTAAAGATTACAGTGGCGGTTACAAAACACCTATTATTTACTAATATTTTCAAACAAAAATTTCTATAGTAATAGTATGCAATTTTACATTCATCTTTAGTTCATACATCATATTCTGAGAAAGTAACAAAAAGATAGTAAATTTGTTATTATGTGTATAAATGTTCAATGTAATACTAGATGAATTTTGAAACAAATTCTTAAGAATCCTATGCCGAAAAATACGTTATAAAAACGTAAAAAATAAAAAGAGAATTTTTTAAAAGATTTTTTTTTCTTTTAAGTAGGTACGCCTATGAAGATGAGTTTATTATTAAACTGGGAAGTAAGGGATATATGTTAGGGCAATATATTTTGATTTTTAATTCCGACTCAGACATTGTTTTACGGATCTGATACTCCCGTAATAATAATGATCTTATATTCGCGGCGCGTTGGGCGTCGGGCGGGGAAATATGGGTAATCAGTTATTCAAATTTTCATGACTTTCCGACGATCCCCCTCTCGCTATACGTCTTCGTTCGTTGCCTATTTATTACGATGTATCGTAAAAAATAACAACACTATTCGATATTAAAAAGTTTCCTTTCGGGTTTTTCATCCGGCCGGGTATTGGGGAAAAGGGCAATTTGAAGGAATAAAGTGTGAAAGTTCGCGCCGTCACGGTGATGTGGGGAAATCACAAACGGGCGTCATTAAATTTTATCGTTTCTTCTTTTATTAGCGATGGAGTTGTTTATTTTTGTAATAGATTTGAGACATATAAAAACGGTCGTAAAAATCGTTCCGATAAATAAACAAATTATGTTAAACATATCGAAAAATTCCTAGTGCATTGTATCTACATGAATTTCGCTAGACTTTGTATATTTCTTTGTAAAAAATAGAGCTTACATAGGTAAATCGAACGAGATAAATGCAAATTCTCGGTATACGAGCGAATCTTGCAAGTCAATCAAAATATTATCAAGTAATATAAGAAACTGTTTTGGTCTCATTGTTAATATTTGCCCTACAATCGTGTTGTTTTATGGGAAAGATATTTATAAAATATCTCCATACTTTGTTGCTGTTTAGCTGTTAATAAACTTTATAATACTCCATACGAGGGTCGCACGCAATTTTTTTTTTCGTTTATTTCGTCTATAAACGTTCGTTTCTTTTGTAATAAATAAATTCAACGTCGGTGAATTTCAAATCGTCCCAACGAAATCGCATATTAAAATTTATCAAACGTTTGTGATCGGACGCAAGTCGTACTCACGTACGCCAATAAAAACTTACCAGTTATTTTTATGCGAGTTATAATTAAATAAGCGCATTCTTATTCGAATTTTCCTGCAACATTGTAAACCGCATCGATTTCGTTAATCATCAGACAGCAGGAATTTCACGAATTTATGTACCTCCTCTTATTCTTCTTAAGTATTCAATACATGAATATGTCTTTAGGTATTTTAGATTAAGTTTTTTCGTCTATTTATTTTTAGAAAAAGAATCGATTTTTCAAGACGCTGTAAAAATTGTTTTTCCCAACAAATCGAAAACAAATCGGCAATTCCATCGAATCGTTTACAGTATTTAAGCCAAAAATTATTGAACCACTTCCAATTATTTTCGAGCCGTTATTTCTTCTCTACCAGATTGATAGGTAACCTTGGACGTTATTGTTATAAAAAAATAATAATAAAAAATTCAACCAACGTAACCGATTGATGGCTCACTGAAGTATAAAAAACTTTATACGAATAAAATTCCCAGAAATCGGGCGGCGAACGTTTCGGTAATCGAATTGTTTTAAAATTCAGGTCGCAGAATTAGTTTTGATTCGATTAGAAATGTTTCCGACCGTACGTGTTTATGGAAAATAATAGTATGTGGAGTTTCGATAAAACATGTGCACCCAATCAATTATTTCTCGGTAAAAAACACCAACGCTTCCATATTTATCTCTAATTTCCTGAATCCATATCCTCGATATTTTTTTTTATTTCGAAAAGTCAAAAACCGAGAAATTTAAGTGCCCATTACTTTTAAAGACGGGAATTTCAAAAATAGCCATTCCGATGCATCACACACACCAGTAATTCGATCGCGCTGTTTAAGTAATCGCACGAATGCCTTTTTTTCTATTAAAAAAATCGACGCAGACAGTCGTTTATAATGATTTAAATACAATTTCCTGTGCACCGATAGTCGTCTGAACTCTTACAGACATTATTTTCCAGATGTGTCATCGCAAAAAACGCTCATATATTGATGGCCGAAAGACCGATACGCTCGTAAGTACATCCACGAAACATGTGTACTTTATTTCAAACAGTGGCGTACGATTACATTTTACTATAAAGTAGGTATATACATCCACCGGATTCAGTCATGTGTTATTGGTATAATAAAATAATCTCGAATGCAATAGGGTCCTATTTAGCATATTAACAAAGGATATCCGCTCGCTTTTATATTTATTTGCATTTCATCCAAATTACCCGAATAAAATGTCCCCGAGAAAAGTATTAAATGTCAACATCAACTGCAAATGATTGACAATTGAAAAAACAAAAGACCGACCCCACCTCCCACGCTCTCTCCGCGCAGAGACTGCCTAACGAAGTTTCATTCAACGCAACAAACCACCCATTCAATTGCCATTCAATAGCTCCCAAGAAAGGTGTAAAAAACCGCGCCGAATTTTCGACAAAGGACGAAAAAATCCGGACGCGCTTCCTCGGCGCGTTTTCGCCGCCGATATTGTTCCGGCATTTCGGATATTCGACGGCAGACGCGCGTTTTTCGCGGCGAAATTTATATATGGATGGCATCCGATCAAATCAACCGTGGCAGCTGACGTTTCGAACAATCGACTAACACCTGTTCGTGAAACA